TAAATTACTACAATATTATGTTATATACTTAGCTGTTGAATTTATTATGATTATGATTGGTTTGAATTTTTTGCGAGGGACCCTAATTCATTTTCTAAAATAAATGTAGCCTAAGTTACTCCTTATAGCATCAGCTATCTGCCAGTGAAAGTCCCGTCAATCGGTCCAGCAGTTTCGGAGATTAGCCGAAACAAACAGACAAACAGACCAAAATTTTAAGATTGTTTTTTAATATATAATACTTTCATGCATTTAGTATGGCAGAATTTCCCTTATAAGGCAATCTTCGGAGAGGCCTATACGAGGGTGGATTGAAAAGTACTCGGCCTAACCAAGAAAATAAACACATACTAAATCAGTTATATTTTTATTTTTTCTACATAATCACCATCAAGTTCAATACACTTTTGCCACCTCCCCTTCCAAGCATTTAGACCGTTGAAAAAAAATTATTCTTCCTTAGAGTCAAAATATGCGTCTACAGCTGCTTTGACCTCGTCGTTTGTCGAAAATCTTTGACCTCCCAAGTGCTTTTTTAGGTTAGGGAACAGAAAGAAGTCTGATGGTGCCAGATCAGGTGAATACGGCGGATGCGGTAACAGTTCAAAGCCACAGTTGTGAATTTCAGCCATTGACTGTACTGACGTGTGAACACGGGCGTTATCTTGATGAAACAGGACTTTTCTTCTGAGCATTCCTCGACGTTTTTTCTTTTATTTCCTCTCGTAAACGACGTAGTAAGGTGCAGTAGTAATCAGAGTTTACAGTCTGACCCCTTTCAAGATAATCAATCATAATCACACCTTTCGAGTCCCAGAATACTGAAGCCATCACCTTATTTGCCGACAAAATCGACTTAGCCTTTTTTAGAGAGTGATGAACCAGGTCTTCTCCACTGTTTTGATTGTTGTTTTGTTTCCGGTGTACAGTAATGAACCCATGTTTTGTCCATAGTAACAAAACGATTCAAAAAATCATCTGCATCGGCTTCAAATAACTCCAAACAGTCGCGTGAAATAGTCAATCGCGTCCTTTTTTGTTCAACTGAAAGCAGTCGCGGAACCCACCTCGCAGACACCTTGTGGAAACCCAACTCGTTGACAATGATGTTTTGAGTTCGTTCATAAGAGATGCCTATAATCTCGGCTATCTCTCTAATTTTTAATGTGCGGTCTCCCATTATTAAATCAAGTACTTTTTTAATATTTTCGTCAGTAGTTGACATCGAAGGCCTTCCAGAGCGGGGTTCATCTTTCACACTCTCTCTACCACGCTTAAATTCTGCTATCCATTTTTTGACGGATGAATATGACAGAGCACAATCACCTAATGTACTGATCATGTCATCATGGATGGCTTTTGATGATAGCCCCTTCTTATGGAGGTACTTAATGACGGCACGCTGCTCGATTTGCTCCATTCGCGGAAATTATGTCCGATTACTTTGTTAATAAATTTATAAAATCACAACTAATTATCGCACACGTTTCGAACTTCACACAATGAACTAGTCTGAACTGAACTAAATAATGTGGGTAGATTTGATTTTTAGAATTGAGTGGATCTGTGTTAGGCCGAGTACTTTTCAATCCACCCTCGTATTATGCAGTAAACTTCGATATGCTGTAATGATGATGATGATGATGAAACAGGTGTTAAGTACGCAATTATCACCATTTCTGTTTGTATTTCCATTTATATTTGTCGTCCACATTGCATGCCGTGGCAACCTTTAATTAAGACTATCCTATTATATAAATTATATAAGACGACACTTAGATATAAATTTTCCTGTTATTTCTAGTATTTACATTGTGTTCGTATTGGTTGTCCTAAATAAATAAAAAAAATTCTTCTTTATCACAAATGTAATTTCTTTGTAACATTTTTTTTAATATTAAATAAATAATTTAATTTAACAAAATGGGAAAACATCTCGAATTAATTAGATTGATGCGTAATTATATACATTAATAAATCATTAGTAAAGGTCACGGCTCTGAACATTTTCACGTAAGTTAATAATCAAATAATAATTAGACAAGTTCCATAAGATTATTTAAGTATATTATTCTGTTGAAATTAAAATGGAGTTCTCGTAAAACAAACCAAGTCTATTACTGGTTCTTTTATCTTGAGCTTAATTTTAGAATAAGGGTGACAAATGAGCCCGCAGTAAACTTGATGGTAAGTAGATGCTGTGGCCCATATAGACATCTACATCTATTATCATTTAAAAATCAAAATGCTGATGCGTTGTCACCCCTGAGGACTAAAATGGAATACCACGTTTCCAGTGAAAAGGAACCTCTATTGTCTGAGTGTGGACAATAGAGGTTCCTTACAAAACACAGCAGCGATGAAATGATATTTCACGCTAGTATAACAGTCTATAAATTATTTAGTATACTGTGCTAGTATTATGAGTGAGCGTGACCCTTCCCCGGTCGAGCCAACCCATTACATTTTGATTCTCTATTGAAGATAAATGTAGATTTCTATGGGAAATCGTTGCCAAAAGCGTTAAAGATCATTACAGAAAGCATAAAACCAGCGAACTTCAGTCGTTTTCCTCTGAGTCTGGGTCTAATGTTTTGCTTAAGTTTCATTTCAAGTGCCAAATTTAATAACTGTGTTACGTTTCAAACACTTACGTGAAACACTCCCCAAAAAAAAAACACTTTGTCCAGAGAGACGCGGAGTGGATTCCATAAGTATTACAGTTTGCGGAATTTGGCACTAAACCCCAAAAAATATGGGTGCGTATTCTAAACAAAGTTATTTTTATTCCAATGATTCGTAATTATTCGAAGAATAACTGTGTACATTATTTTTAGGCTATTAGAAAAGAAGAACACATTGCTAGCAGTCAAACAAAAACATCGTTCTAAAAATAATACTCAGTACGAAAACTGTTATACAATGATATAAGTGCATTAGCAATACTAATTTCAGCCTTTGAGCAGCCTTTGCAAGAGAAAACAAATAGCATGCAATTTTTTTGAAGAGTCCTTTAAAGACGTATTGGACTTCTTTTAAAGGACTCTTAAAAAAATTGCATGCTATTTGTTTTAATTAGTTATTGGCTTGTTATTAATAATTAAAACTAGCTCTCAGGAATGTGAAGAAACCTGTGCCCAGAAGTGGGACCGATATTGCAGTTTTGTATTACAGAATTGTTTGAAAATGTGCCCTTTTATTGATATTCAAATAGATACTTTTAAAATTAAAATACTTGATAGAATCAGGCGTTACTTTGCGGAAATCCATTAAAATAAAGATATTGATTAATTTGCAACCTTCCACTAACTAAATACAATTATGTGTCTTACCTGGTTTGAAGAGCATCTCCCGCCCTCCCTCAATTGCGTGCACTAATTCCGTGGGACTAGTGGTGACGGAATTAGTGCACGCACGAGGGAGGGCGGGAGGTGCTCTTCAATCAAGGTAAGACACATCATTGTATTTAGTTAGCGGAAAGTTGCAAATTAATCAATATCTTTATTAAAATATTTGTAAGGCTTAAAAATATTGATATTTTTGACGACAAATAAAATTTGAATTTAAAACGATTGGCATAGATTATAAAATTAAATTGTCAAAGATGCTCTTTTTTATTAACAGACACGTTATTGCAATTAGTAATAATATACTTCTTTTTTAACAGGACTATTTAGAGAATTTACGTTATTTTAAATTGCCAACCCAATATCGGAATCGATTTTCAAATTTCAATAACTGTAAACTGTATATGAAGAAACCTGTGCCCAGAAGTGGGACTGATATTGGCTGTAAATTTACTTATTATGAACCCCACACACGTTGTCCTGCCAGTTAATATCGTAGGTTGTGATCAGCAACGTTTATTTTTATTTTAACGCGTGCAAATTTAATTTATTAACTACCGCACTTATTTGAAAAAAAGCGATTTTTTTCAACTTTCCTTTAGTTCATTGAAACTAAAAGAAAAAATAGTTACTTCATTGAAAAATACATATGTATACCGATTTTCATGGTGATCGATTAAATAGATTTTGAGTTAAACTATTTCATATATACAAACAGCCTCTTTTTATGTATAGATTGTAAGTTATAAACTTATAATATTATAAATAAAAAATGAGCTTAGTAAATGCCTCCGCATTTTGATTCTTAATCGAGGATAGATGTAATGTCTATGGGCCGCAGCATGCACTTACTCGTACCATCACATTTATACATGGAAGAGCCATGCTACAGTTATATTACTAGTATAGTTGTAGCACGAATGGGTCGGCTCGACCGGGGAAGGACAACGCTCTCACAGAATACCAGCGTAAAATAGTAAGCTTAATGCTGCTGTGTTTCGTATGGTGAGTGTAGAGAACCGGAGAATCTTTTTACTGGAAATGAGCCATTCCATCTGAGTCCGGTCACGGGTGACAACGCATTTGCATTTTGATTTGTAATTGAGGATAGATGTAGATGTCTATGGGCTGCAGTAACCACTTACCATCAGGTGGACTGTGTGCTCGTTTGTCATCCTTATTCTATATTATTTAAAAAAAAAATATTAATTAACTACCGTTCGCTATTTAATTTATGCTTAATTTAAACAGTTACCGCGATTCCTTCAACATTTCTCATAATTCTAGAAATTATTAGTTTACATTTACCTGTAATTTACGTATACAAGTATTTCGAAGGAAGAACATTTTTACCTCAACGAATCAGTTGAAACCATTCCCTGCTACAGTTAACATGAATGTTTCTATGCAGTTGTTATTCGTATTAAAGGGTATCTAAATTAATACTGTTATTGCTTAGGTTATCAATTTAACAAAGACTTGAATGATAAGAAATTAATGGACAATAAAATAACCGAATTTCAGTGTTTGTCACAATCACAAGTAAATTTTAACTTTCTTTTGACTGACTTCAATTCAGATATCTTCTATATAAATATTTGAGAATTCAGTGTAACAAAACCAGTGTAAGTTTAGTTCAGTGTAAAATTAAACATGTCGGAACCGGAAAAGAAAATGGAACGCTTCAAGAACTGTCTAATAAAAATACAAGAAAAATTTCAAGATAAAGTAGAAGATTTCCAGGACCAAGTACAAAATAAAATTGAGAAATCTAAACTGGGAAATTTTGTTTCTCATCTGTCCGAAGATAGAAGTTCAAATGATGATAATTCCACAGACGCTGATAAAGTATCTACAGATTCTGGAGAAATGAAAGTTAACAAAAATAATAAATTAAAAAGCATTCCGTCTGTGGTTATTAATCAGCCAGAGGGTGATAGTAATGAAGATCAGAAGGATGTTTGTAGCAATTTCCTTAAGGGAGAACGCAGTGGTGGAATTTATAGAAGTTTGTCGGATTCAGATATAGCTTTTGATAACGACACTTACTTCGACAGTTCCAGTGAATCATGTTTATCGTGCTATTCTTCGAGTGATGAAAGGTACTATTATTTCCTAAGCAAATTTAATTTATTTCTGCTCTTTTGTTTCTTTACAGCGTCAAACGTTAGTGCAGTTTTGTATTACAGAATTGTTTGAAAATGTGCCCTATATGACTTTTTATTTGTAAGTCTTAAAAAATATTGATATTTTTTCATTGGAATGAACGACAAATAAAATTAGAATTTAAAATGATTGGCATAGATTATAAAATTAAATTGTCAAAGATGATCTTTTTTATTAACAGACACGTTATTGCCATCAGTAATAATATAATACTTTTTAACAGGAGTATTTAGAAAATTTACGTTATTTTAAATTACCAACCCAAAATCGGAATCGATTTTCAAATTTCAAAAACTGTAAACTGTATTTTATATTTCTCACTACAACAGAAAATTAGAAATAAGACCAAGAGCAGGAAGTCTTCCACCAGGCCAGAAGCTCGACGGGCCTACATCTCATAACGCATGCAGTGACTTTATTGAGAAGATAGGGAACCACTTTCCAGGACTCAAGAGTAAGGGAGAAAGGATACAGAGGGTGATTTGAAAGCCTTTGTATTTTCGGTGGTGGCTTTTGCATGAATTGTCTCGGAATAGTTTGTTTTTTACAGCACTCGCAATTTTTTTGGAATATTTAGTGTTATAAATGATTTTATACTCTAATTCTATTTGCTTAATTTTCACTGTAACTAACTGTATCTTTAGTGGTATGTTTAATGGTAATCTTATATGATGTTGTAACGATTATTTTCTCTAACCGACCTTAACTAATATTGTGAGCTTGTTCTAATTAATCCTATGTTTCTTCGTATAAAAGATATGAGCAGCCAAAAGGGAAAGCATTATTAGTGACTAATTCGATTAAAGCGCACATTCGTTCTTCTTTTATATTTAAACACAATACCACATTATTTATTTTATATCTTTATTAAAAATTGATAAAAGTCCTGCTGGGTTTCTAGCTAGTTCTTCCCAGGGCAAAGGATTTTTCCGAACCAGATCACATATGATATTCTATTCTATTAGATTCCATTCGTTTCTATTCTTTTCTATACTATTCCATTCTATTTTTGCGTTATCTTGTAGTCGGTTTTGCTCTTGTACCTTGCAGGCAATTAATATCAATAAATACTAATTTTAACGAAGACAATTTAGACCCAAAATAACTTTTAATGTGCCGTCAAAATACATGAGTACATTCGCCGGTGCACATTGTTTTTTTTTAGTTCCAAGCTGGAACCGAAGCAACTGCTACGAGTCAAACAATGTATAAAGCATTTTATAGGGAATTACGATCAACAATCTGTGCCATAATATGTACATAGGACTTTCGAAGATGTGCATCGTGTGTCAGTGGAGTGATTCATAATTTTTTTTATTTACTTTTAAATGACTATGGAAAGTTCTAGAAAAAGCTCATAGCATGTGTTAGATAGCGAAATAACCACACCTTTTACCCTTTTAACCTAGTAATGAGGCATTCTATATTAGTCCTCAGGGGTGACAATGCATCTACACATAGATATAAGAAAGTCTATGCATCTACATTTTATTTCTTAATCGAGGGTAGAATTTTTTAAAAATGGAATTAGGTGACGAACGAGCACACAGTCCACTTGATGGTAAGTGGTTGCTGTGGCCCATAGATATCTACATCTATCCTCGATTACTAACCAAAATACAGATGCGTTGTCACCCGTGAGGACTAAGGTGGAATGCCTTGTTTCCAGTAAAAAGGTCTCAAGTTCTCTACACTCACCATTCGAATCACAGCAGCATTAAGCTACTATTTTACTGTATTTAGGGATGGAACGAGTAGTGATTCGATGAATACTTGGCCCGACTCACCGAGTACTCGGCCTAGATTGGACTGAGTACTCGGCCGAATACTCGGCTTTAAAAAAAACGCAGTAGTGGGCGGCGCATGCTTATTTCCCTTACACAGTTAGGGATGAAACTATACGAGTAAATACAAGTACTTACTTGATACTTTTCTTTCTATACCAAGTACTTTGGTATCGATATTTAAAACTGAGTACCAAGTAGTATCGAAAGAAAAGTACTTGCATCGATACTCGATCAGTCACACACCCGCGGACACTGTAGATGAGTGATTACAGATTACTTCGAGAGATTGTTTTCGTTATCTGGCGCGAAAATGATTTTTTAAAATTATTTATCTTAGGAAACACATAAAAAAATTCATTCGAAACATGCTTCTGAAGATGAAAGAAGCTGCTTACGCATCGGCAGTTGCCAACCTAATGATCCTAAGAATTCCGCTGCAGCAGAGTTAGATCATTACTTAAGCGTACCAAGGGCCGCAAGAGAAGCAAATCTATATAAAGACTATTATCCCATCTTGGGAAAAGTTGCTGTGTTTCTTATGGTGAGTGTAGAGAACCGGAGACCCCCTTTTTACTGGAATCGAGGCATTCCATCTTAGTCATCAAGGGTGTAAATATATATATATATATATATATATATATATATATATATATATATTTTATTATTATATGTATATATATATATATATATATATATATGCTAAAACGTTTATGAATGAATGACGAATTCATTGCAAACAAACTCACCTACTCGTACCATGCTTTGAGGAAATTAAAACGGATCAGCATGATGAATAATCGATTCGCATAACACAATCTAATGCAATTTGTCGGTAAATTCTAAGGCATTGGTAATTACTTCATTTATAAACTATTTAGCTGATTTACATCACGCTCGGCAGTAAAGGAAAACATAATGAAACCTGCATGTCTGAAAAATAAGAAAACATAAAAAAATATTTCGAAGACCCGTGGAGTCCGCCAACACACATTGGGGCAGCGCGGCGGACACTTCTATGTATTATCCTATAATCCTCTCAAAAGTGAGAAGGAGGCCTGTGCCCAGCAGTGGGACATATATAGGCTGTAACTTTATTTCACTTTTACATTTGTGAAATATATGGCCTGAACATTTTTGTATTATTATTTTTGAACCAATAGTTATAAGCCAGTGGTTAATTAATATCCCATATTATATTGGTAAGCAGTGATGAATCCCTAGATTGGTAGTTGAAGTTAATTAAAACTTCTCAAAAGTGGAAGAAATATAATAATATACAGATTAACATTTTAATAGTTCATATACAAGCCTTCTAAAAAAATCCTATGGATTACGCTTTTTTTTAAAGTATATGGGTGACAAACGAGCACACCGTCCACCTGATGGTAAGTGGATGCTATGGCCCTTAGACATCGACATATATTCTCGATTAAGAATCCTCCTGAGGACTAAGATGGAATGCCTCTCAGATCATATAAACAACAGGAGATATGCCCGGTAGTTAAAATGTATCGGAACCCGGTGTCTCCAGTTTGCCCCCGCCACTCGCCAACTACTACACATGCAGTTCATTAAATTGATAGATACGCAGTAGCGCACACACACGCATTCACATCTCTAACTCACAAAAGCCGGCAGAGGCTGCTTCACGAAACTATCGTGTGAGTGAGAGTATCAGTAAAACACTTATCCATTACGCTATTAGACCAGCTGATTCACAGGTCGATTTGTACTAAGCAAGCAATGGTTTTTGTTCCTAATGAAAACATTTGATTTGGTTTTTCATCGTGTTTCTAGTACCACGAAGTAATTTTTTAATAAATTGAATAAGAAAAACATTAATATTTTAGTACTTACGTGTGAAATGAGATGCCATCTTTCATCTAATTCACAATACAGCTGTTATTTTTGCAAACAATCACTGAACAACGCGGCATTTTGTCAAAAATCACGAGCAGTGAAGACGTCACAAGTTGATATTCGACTAATTACCGAAACTGGCATCAGGCCGCTTTGCGGCCAGATGCGTTCGCAAGTGCCACGCCTCCTTGCCATATCTCCTGTTGTTTATATGATCTGAGGAATGCCTCCTTTCAAGTAAAAAGTGTCTCCGGTTCTCTACACTCACCATACGAAACACAGCAGTATTGAACTGCTATTTTACGCTTGTATTCTGTGAGAGAGTGGTCCTGCCCCGATTGGTACGACCCATTCGTTCTACAACTATAATATAGTTGCAGCGTGGTCTACCCACGTAAAGAATCAGCCTTCTTTTCGTATCAAAAAGACGTTGTAGTTTGGTTACAGATTGCACTCCCAAAAATTCGTAGTTTTGTCCCCACTAAAATAATACCAGAACTTGTATGTATCAGAAATCGAATTTCGAGGTTATATGTCGTCTGTCTACTAGCTCCATGTGGTATAATGTTTTCTGGTAAATAACACTTTCGGAAACGAGAGGAAAACTGTAGATGCGGGGCCAATCCTCTATGGATGATTTTTTTTAAAGAGAATTACTAAGAATATTATAAACATATAACTTTTACTACAACTTTGTTAATTTTTATATTCAACATTATAACTAGGTACTATTGATTACATGATAAGAAATCATTATGTAAATTAGGTACTAGTTTTCCCTTAAATCACTCATCTTGAAATATCTGAGAATGTTTCACGACTGTAATCGAATGATGAATTCGGACCTTTTAGTTTTACAAACTTCAGTAACTTTCAGTAAAGTTCAGTTCAGTAAGTTTACTAAATTGTATCCAAGACCCAAATTTTAGGGCTAAAGGGACACGTCATTCATACATATTTTCATTGATTAGTCTATTGTGCTCATTTTCGTCTTATATCAATAGCTGAAAATCAGTGTTTGCTTCCTATGAAATACTCATATTAATCGCTAAGTTAGGATACATTTGTTCAACTGCAACACATGTACTTTTAGATCTTAGTATTAAGTAATTCTTTTAAATAAGTTTTGTCATTAAATGTACGTGTTTGATTGGAGGAACAAATTAATGCCTTATCTATAAATATCTGGGAACCTGCGATTAGGCTACGAAATACTTAAAACTGTAACATTTTTAAGTGGTAGAGCCAGGCTGCAACTATATTATGGTTGTGGCACGAATGGATAGGCTCGACCGGGGAAGGACCACGCGCTCACAGAATACCAGCGTAAAATAGCAGTCTAATGCTGCTGTGTTTCGTATGGTAACCGGAGACCCTTTTTACTGAAAATCATGCACGCATCTGAATTGGATAAATGTCTATAGGCCACAGTACCCACTTACCATCAGGTGAACTGAGTGCCCGTTTGTCCCTCTTATTCTATTTAAAAAAAAAACATTTTTTACTTCCCTTCTTACCTGGGTCAAGTCATTAAACTTTTATTATGCACAATTAAGACTAAATGAAACCGTAAAATTTGTAGGTTGTTTTTAGGAGTGTAACATATTTTAATCTCTTATCGCCCAATTATCAATTATTGAATACCAACGTAAAATAGCAGATCAATGCTGCTGTATTGCGTATGGCTAGTGTAAAGAACCGGAAACCCTTTATTTAATTTTAATTACTGTAAGCGAGGCATTCCATATCTTAGTCCTCACGGGTCACAACGCATCTGCATTTTGATTCTTAATCCAGGATAAATGTTGTCTATGGGTCACAGCATACAGGTGGACTGTGAGCTCATCTGTCATCCTATTCTATAAAAAAATATAGCACGTCAGTTATTAAGCCTATGACTAAAATGATTATAACTCTACTTATATTGCCTAAACGTTTGTTCATTTTCATAATGACCGTTATATTTACTTGTAAGCTACCACGCCGTTTGATAATGAGTTCGTCCATATTTAAAAAAAATCCTATGTATTTAGAACTGTTTATCTAAGAGTCTGTTTCACAAAAGAGTTGTCGCGGGAAAAAATGCGAACTAAAATGTGGAAAGAGCCGTGATAGCTTAGGGGCTAAGCGCTCGCTATCTATATGTCACAGTACGCGAGCAACCCGGGTTTGATCCCCGCCGGCTCCAATGAAATTGTAAAATGCAATTTTAAGTGCTGATTTACCACGTTTGAAAAGCTATCTGATTCTGTTACCCGTAATCGACATGACAACTATAAATTTCTTATACGTATGTCTAATTTGTCTACGTTAATGCACAAAAACATAATTTGCATGGGCCCCGTAATATGTAATAAAGTACCTAAAGAAATTAGGTACCTAAATTTGACTCATTAAAAAAAGGCTGAAGCATTTCATGACATGAAATGTTTTTACAACATAACGGACTTTCTAAATGATATTCTTTTATCGGCGGGAAGGTAAGCCTCTTGAGGTAATCAGCATGCTTGATAAATAGGATAGAAAATATTTCAAAGACAATTGAAGTTCGCCAACATGCATTGGGGTAGTGCAGCGGACATTTTCTTGCCATAAAAACTCTCAGAAATGAAAGGAGGCCTGCACCCACCAGTGGGACGTATATAGACTGCAACTTTAAATGTAAAGTATGGAATTTGACTGCTAAAGGACTTCTTTTAAAGAAAATCTTTACCTTCACAGCAGGAATTTCTCCTGTCGTGAAGACTGTTTACATACCTAACGATAGGTTTGACTGATGATGTTTCCGTCACATCAACAACAGCAGAAAGGATTACTTGCAATAGAAGGAAATTAAAAATACCAAAAATAATAAATATGTTAGTAAAATTTAAAAGCTAATTATAACCAAAAATTATATAAAGTAAAATTATATTCATTTGAGGTGAAGATCTTGAAAGACAGTTATGAGACTAAATTAGAGTGTATAAATTCAGATATTTTATCACTTGAAAACTTCCTACAAATTATATCAAATAAATATGCATCGAATCAGAATGAGATAAAAGATTTATTCTGCCACTTTGTTTTACGTATGTACACTTTAGGAAAGCTTTTGATTCCGTCGTAAGTACCCTGGTTTAACGTCAACAATTTGCTTTTAAACGGTAATTAAACGAAATGCATTAAATTTACAAAACCAAATGTTGACCACTATGCTTTTAAATTGGGAAGAGTTGAGTCTTGTTGAATCCACTGTTCTTTTTTCGGAATCACAGTCGACGCGAAGCTTCAACGGGGCCCTCATATATCTAAACTAGCGAGCAAACAAAAAGATTAGATGCTTTACACGTGTTGAAACAGCTAGATTAGTTTATTTTAGTAATTTCCATAGCATAATGTCATATGGAGGCTTGCTATGGGGTAATGCGGCTGACATTGAATCTTTGTTTTACAGAAGAGAATTTTAAAAGCAATTTATAACCTAGGTCCGAAGAAATACCTTAGAGAAAATTTTAAGGAAATAATAAAATAGCTTTTGCCTGTCAGTATATTTACGAAAATTTTATGTATGTTCACAAAAATAAAAATAGATTTATTATAAATAGCCTACATTTTGTAAATACTATAATTATAGGAACAAGCACAAGTTAATTATATACGGTCCTCGATTCCAAAGAGTCTGTAATTCCTTCAAGGAGCCATGTATACGCTTTTACAACAAAGTCCTAGAAAATATTAAATTTTTCTTAAGCGAATAGTGTTTATTAAGAGTTACTAAATAATATTGATAATAACCCCGGTGATGTAGCAATGTTTTATATAATGTATACAATTTATATTGTAAATTAACTTTCTTTTTTTAAGTCCCGCTGGTTCTTCGCAGGACAATGTTTTTTTTTTCCGAACCATAGTTTAAATGACTTTCTATAAGTATTATTGTAATATATACTGAATAAAAATGATTCTATTCTATTCTTCCGTGAGTGCGAGCATGCATGCTTGTGTGCGTGTTATATAGTGTGGGTTACTTACAAATATTAGATAAGCGTTGTAACTAACAAAAACAATTTACAAATTGTTAAAAATTAATTTTAAAACCATAAAAATAAAAATTTATGTTTATTTTATTTAGTATCTTCTGAAGAACACAAGGTTAAGTGACGTGAACAAGCGGCTGAAGGCACAAATCTGGAGTTCCGTGGTGACCATAGTACTTGTTGAGGCTAAGAATCTTCAAGCAATGGATGTAGAAACAAGATCCAGTGACCCTTATTGCAAATTCAGGTAAGCTGACTCGTCGATAGCTTTGTGAACCTAACGTCAGGCGTACATGTAGATTTTCTAATGATAAATTAATGTGGTAAAATTAAAAATTTTGTACAACCAACTTCAATATATATTAAATGAGCACATTCTCAATGTATATATATATAATCGGTATCTCGGAAACGGCTCAAATGATTTTCATAAAATTTAGTATCCGGGGTTTTCGGGGGGCAATAAATTGATCTAGCTAGCATTCATTTTTAGAAAATGTCATTTTGTCCATGTTTTCAGGCAATGAAAAACTGCTACAATATAAGAAGGTAAATTTTGACACCATATTAATGATCGTAATAGCTCAAGTGGATATCGGGATATCGCGAAATCGTAGTGCCCTGGTTCGTGTTCTGTCTACTGTCCGACTTTTTCCCTTTTTTTTCAAGTTCCCTTCTTTTGTGAGAAAATCTATTATTTCGAGCCCTGTTTTTAATATTTTTTAAAAATACGAAAATTTAAATTAAACTAATTGCACTCATGATTTTTTATTCAAGTAACCGGTTCAGTTTTTTCTATTATGTCGCTAAGATCAAAAAATATTATTCATGTTTCATCAGTATGTAATTTTTATCTAAATATTATTTCCAAAACACACAATTTCCAAAAAAATACCGAGTAAGGCTCGGTCATCCAGGTACTATAAATAAAACGAGAACATCATCACTGTATTCGAAGGCAATGAAATACGCATTATTAAGGATAACTCAAAAACTACTGATCAAATTTTGATCATATTTATATGGGAGCACACGAAAAGCACCAGATTTCAAAATAAAAAAGAATCATCAAAATCGGTTCACCCAGAAAAAACGTAAGGTAACACTCATTAAAAAAAAACATACAGTCGAATTGAATACCTCCTCCATTTTGAAATCGTTGAAAAAAAAATATATTATTCGTTCTTCATGTTAATGTTTCTATTAATGATGATGTTGTTCTTTTCTATTTTTATTATTGCTGCACCGCCACTTATATGTCTATCGCTATTACCACAAAGTCTCAGAAACTATACAAGGTCTCTCTATTACCAATTTTAAATATTTAATTAAACAAAAACTGTATAAAAAGGGTTATTATGATATAAATGAATACATGATTGATTATTATCCCTGGGAATGGGGTGGTCGCTTCCAAGCTGTTTCTAAAATAAATTTTGTAAATATTTTGTGACCCTTGACATTGTAAAATTTATTTTTAAAAAAAAGTCCCGCTGGGTTTCTTGCTGGTTCTTCCCAGGACAGAGGTTTTTTTTTCGGACTAGTGGTAACGTAAAATATTGACTTTCAATAAGAATTACTTGAAATCTATATTGAATAAAATCGTTCCATTCTATTCTATTCTATATCTATTTATCCTAATGGTAGACTGGGAGAAAATGCCCTATGACATTAAGTCCGTCATATGTACTACTTTGTGTATGAAAGCATTAAAAAAATGTTCTGAAATGGCAACCGAACTTATAGTCTACTGACAGTTTCTAGGTACTGCAGTCCAATGACATCTACCATCCAACTTCAAACAAGAAGACTACAGATGCAGGGTCACCAATGAGATCTAAAATTTAATGCCTTACAGCCTGTAATTATACTGACTGTTACTCTTCACCTTACCGTGCAGTGGCGGTGTAAGGATGTCCACTACCACATATCATCCCGTGGGTGTCGTATAGGCGACAAAGGGAAACAAATCAGATGACCAGAAGTGTATTCGTGATAACTGCGGTTGCCAACTCGCTTGGCAAGCGTGGCAACTATGTAAAACATCCCCCTATGAGGCAATTTATGGGGGAGGCCTGTGTTCAGCAGTTGACTTTAATAGGCTGTAACGGATGGATGTATAGAAGATAATCTACCAGGAGCACATGACTCACTGAGAGGTGAAATTATTAAATCAACAGTAACATTACAACTATGGCAAATATCTCCCCTATGAGGCAATCTATGGGCGAGGCCTATGTTCAGCAGTGTGCTTTAAAGGTGAACACACACTTATCCGAGCAGCCGAATGCGTCGAACGAATCGAATTCAAGGAGGCCTCGCCTCACACCGAAAGGATCGACCGCGCCGAAAAAATAGTTTCCATTTCCTTTATACCCGTCACACTATAATTTACATGCGAATTGTGATGAATCTTGAAGAGGTTTCTATTGTCAGTGCTTTATTATTGGAAGCTGAAGAAAGTACTAATTTAATTAAAACAGAATCATTGTTTTTTTTAATGAAGAAGTAGTACTCGCACCTTCCTCTGTCCTCTGTCTGTGTTATCCTCGATTAAGAATCAAAACGCATATTAGTTGTCATCCCTGTGGACTAAGATGGATTGCCTCGTTTCCAGTAAGAAAGGGTCTCCGGTTCTCCACACTCACCATACGAAACACAGCCGTATTAAGCCGATATTTTATGCTGGTATTCTCTGAGAGCGTAGTCTTGGCCCGGTCAAACCGACCCATTCGTGCCCCAACCATACACAAGAATAATATGTTGTTATGTTTAATTGAGACGAAAAAAGTTAATTTTATATGATCTATGTGCAATGAAAATTCCCAAAAGACCACACTAGATTTTTTCTCGAACCACACTTATACGTGGTAGAGCCACGCTGCAGCTATATTATGGCTGAAACACTAGTGGTTCAGCTCGACCGGGAAAGGACCACGCTCTCACAGAATACCAGCGTATAATAGCAGCTTAATGCTGCTGTGTTTCGTATGGTGAGTGTAGGATCTGGAGACCCTTTTCTACTGTAAACATGGCATTCCATCTTAGTCCTCAGGGGTGACAACGTATCTTCGTTTTGATTCTTATTCGAGGATAAATGTAGATGTCTATGGGCCACAGCATCCACTTACCATCAGGTGGACTCTGTGCTTTATTGCCACCCTTATTCTATAAAAAACACACTAAAATAAATCATTGTGAGATTAATGTAACTCCCAAAATTGATGACACGGCTATCGCAAACACTATTCACTCAACGGAGTATCGCCTTGACTATTTATAAATAATAATTAATTAAAAACTCTAGCCGCTTAATGAGACCGCCACTCACGCTCAAGCGACCTATATATGATTATTTATTTCCAGGTTAGGTAATGAAAAATATAAAAGTAAAGTTGTGTGGAAGACGCTACATCCATCATGGTTGGAGCAGTTCGACTTTCACCTATACGACGATCAAGAACAGATACTTGAAGTCACTGTGTGGGACAAGGACAAACAAACTAAAGACGATTTTTTAGGGAGGTAGGTATGTTTCATTTTGTTATGAAAATAGTAGTTTTCCTAGCATAAATAGTGAATTTCTAAGACCTAAAGGTAACTGAATTTTAGATGTAGCCAGTTTTCTGTTAAAATGGTATTCTAGAATAAGCGAGGACGAATTAAAAGATACTTTTTATAAAATAAAATAATGTCTAGTATTTCTTCAGGTGTACAATAGATTTAACAAAATTAGAACGGGAAAAAACGCATAGCATTTGGCAAGACTTAGAAGATGGCAACGGGCAGATATTTTTATTGCTAACAATCAGTGGCACCACGCAATCGGAAACAATTACTGACTTGGCAAGCTATAGGGAGAACCCTAGAGATATTGAAATAATCGAAAGGAGATACGTAAGTAAAAAGCGAGTTTTAATTACTTCAAGTTTAGATGAAAATGTTATACGCATATATATAATATAAAATATTATTCGGTAACTTTTATGTTAATCGAAAGTAAGATATTGTTGCGCGATATAATTAGCCCCTGGTATGTGGCGGCTGATTATTGGCGCCATCTGGTATCAAGCAGTAGAAATAGGAACGTCAAGATCTTTCTAGAACGGGAGATTTCTAGAAAGATCATTGACGTTCCTATTACTAGCGCTATTTAGTATCGAATAGAAGAACTAAGCTTTCTATAAAACTTCACACTCGAACTTTCTACACCTAGACGGTCGGGACCGCTATTTGCTGGAATATTCTAGATGTTTCGGTGGAAAAGGCCTACATAAAGTCGGTGGAGTCCGCGACCAGGGCAGTATTGAATTGGCGATACAAGCGAAGCTTCGGAGCGAAATAAAGTGAACTAAAGTGATTAATTATTGGCGTGTTTTAAGTTTTATTGGTGTGCGGTAATTAAAGTGTCAATTTTGGTAATTCAATCGGCAGTTTTTATTGTCACGTACCCTAAGCTCGTAACAATATGAAACTATCATTGTATAATAAAATTAAATTATAATGTCTTTGGTTACAGTAATATCCTCATAAGGCACTATTTGTTCTTTTCAAATGTCTAAGACGAGCTCGTAGAGACGAGATCGTACGAGCAAACAATGCGATTTCATCGCACGACGAGATTAAACACACACACATTTCATAAGAGTGTCCTAATTGAAGCTTGCAAGTGAGCGCGCGACCACAAGAAGTGCTAAATATGGGGAAGAAAGTTTTTTGAGTGTCAGACTCGTACTGACAAAGGAATAACAACCTGATGAAGTATACAGGGGAGTTGATGGATGTATGTGACTCAGTGTGAGTTGATGGATGTATGTTACCACCCGTACTATAACATATAGTATCGTAGTATATATCAAACAATTGTACTAAATATTATACAAAAATAATATAGTACAAAAAATACCTACTATATTTTTATATCTAGTTCAACTGTCGCGCATTTTTTATATTAAACTGTGATTGGAAGTATGAAACATGTATAGTACCCGGCGATAAATATTGCACATCGACCATTGGAAAGAGACAATCGGGTAATTTTGGCTTCATAGAGCGTTATCTCTGTCGCACGAAATACAAACAGACCGGTATCTATTATTGTTCATAAAAGATAGCTTGATCTCTGCGACAGTTGTCAGTAAAAATCACGCCTATGAAGTCCTGAATTTCTTAGTAGTACAGACACAAAGTACCTGTCAATGTCATACTTTATGGGAATACACTAATTAGGTCGGCATTCATTCATTCGGCGGTCAGCTGTCGCAGAGATCAAGTTATCTTTTATGAACTATAGGTCGAACGTCAAAACGTCATATAAGTAGTGTGCGACTGAGATAACGCTCTACGAAGCCGATATTAGCCTATTGTCTCTTTCCAAAGGTCGATGTGCAATATTTATCGCCGGATACTGTATGTTTTACGCGAAGAATTTTTTCCATCATGAATGTAAAATTGGAAGAAAAAAGAAAATGAGCATGTGTTAATTTAATTAAAAATTAATTGTTAACACTTATTTTAACATGAATCTAAATTGCTCAGATTCTTGTTTATTTTAAAAGTAAGGTAGAATGTAAGATGGGTAGATCATTGATGTCCAAAGCAAAGAGTTAACTATAACAAATACATATGGAAAAATACGTAAAGATTAAAAATTAATATGTACTTTTTTCTCCTGAATTTCTCGAAGGTACCATATTTTTGCACCTTTTTTGGGAAAATACTATATTTGTTCAAAAAAGGTGGCAACCCTAGTGACTCAGAACCGCGGTTTGTTGTAGTCAGTATTGCCACTTCTTTAAATAAAATTATTTTCATACACTTTTAAGTTTATAATCAGCTTTTATTTTTTAATATCCGTAAGATTTCTAGCACCTGATATTTTCCAGGCGTGGTATCGACTCAACGAGTACTCTAGCGGTGTCGGCTGGCTGTGTGTAAAAGTGTATGGTGCTAAAGGTCTGGTGGCAGCGGATTTGGGCGGCAAATCGGATCCGTTTTGTGTATTGGAACTGGGTAATGCGAGACTGCAGACGCATACGGAATATAAGACGCTGACGCCTAATTGGATGAAGATATTCACATTGTTAGTAATTTATTATCCTTATTTTATTGTTCGTTAATTTCCGCATCCGTCTATCCCGAAGTGCCAAGTTTGAATCCCAATAATTTCCTAAGTTTGAATCCCAATAGTTATAACGGTTTTCCCCAAATATTTTCTGTAATCGCCTCTTACTATAGCCAGGTAATAAAATATAGAGACGGATTTTCTTATGCAACCATCACACGGTTTCACTTTTTTACTGTATTCACTTTTTTGATGGCTTGGGACCTTGCTTTGTGAATCTTATGTTCAGTAGTGACTTGTGACGGGCTGTAATGAAAAAAAAACTTTATTCTGGCTGCGCCTTAAAACACGTTAACGAATCATAACTTATTTTTTTACAAACCCCTATAAAATATATTTACTCATTGAAAGTCTATGGTTAGTGAATTAAGGTAAAGTGGGGGCGCCCGCTGGTGGAAAATTTTTTGGGGTTTTTTTTTTTTTTTATTTTTAAAAAATAATAAATTTTTTTTTTTCTTTTGGGATATAGGTTTTTTTTTTTTTCCCTCCCCTTTGGGGGTTTTTGTTCGCGGTTTGTGAGTTTTTTTTTATCTCGTCTCTTTCCTTAGGTATATATTTCTATGGGAAACGTCGAGATGAGCTCAAATCTCCAATAGATTACGGTATAACAATCTCGTAAATAAATTGCTCATACGATCGGTAATGCTCGTTTATACCACATCTGTGACGGGTGTTATATTATTATACCCATGCAGGTAGAATAAGAAAAAAATAAAGCGTGCATAGTTCACAATCGAGCCGTTGTCTTCTTTGCACGGGTCCCTTATTTAATAACGGGTATAGAATACAGATCCGTCGTTATATCGATAGCCAGATTGTAAACGAACAGTGGTTAATTTACCTCCTATATTATATTATTGTAAAATAAAAGGCTACAGCTGTTCCATTTCACGACGACGAGGGCTTGACATAGGTTATTGTGTACTTGTCAACTGTAGGTTTGGTATCATACATTCTGGAAATACTGCCTAAAAATAAAAGCTTTGACTATAATATGTACATCGGACTCAAAAAAAACTACCAAACAAAAAAAACTGGAAGAGCCTAAATAGAGCTTAGCTTAGCTTAATCGAGGAAGAAAAGAATAGTCTTCACGATGAAAGCACAGTTAAACCAATTGACACACCGTCTAGAAAACAAAAAATCTTTGAAAGTAAAATTTCGGAAATTGGAAAAAGAGTGTTCTTGGTATAAATCTCGGATTAACTAAAATTAATAATAATAATAATTGTATATACTCTCAGTTTCATAAATTACGCTTGTGTGTATTACATATTTAATTACAAAACTACACTTCGAAGCAATTAGTGTTAACGGCCATACTAGTATAAACTGTGTTATAACCGTAAGCGTCTTCCAAACTGAGTTGTAAAAAACAAAAAGTATATAATTTCGCAATACATTTAAAATATTTTTTGTATTATTATAGTAGAATACAAAACAAGTTAAAAATAAAAATAAAAATTGGGAAAGAAGAGAAAACCTTCAAACTACCACAAACGCGCGTGCCTGTGTGTTATGTGTGTGTTTGTATGAGTGAATTAGTGTGTGTTCATTTAAATGACGATTAACTTCTCTGTTTCTAAGTAGTGAGGGCTTAGCAACCAATTTTGAATTCAATGCGTAGGATATACTTGGACTAAAGTCGTTTGTAACTTACTAAAATAATAATAATCACAACAATTTCAGCACAGTAAAAGACATCACATCAATACTAGAGGTGACAGTTTACGACGAGGACCACGATCATAAAGTGGAGTTCCTAGGCAAGCTTGCAGTGCCGTTACTAAACATACGGAATGGGGAGAAGCGTTGGTTCGCGCTGAAGGATAAGAAGATGAGGGCGAGAGCTAAGGGTAACTACCCGCAAATATTGCTGGAGATGACGGTTATATGGAATCCGGTAAGTGGAGTAATTCTAAGTAATACATATCCTACTTACTTAACATTTTTGACCATTCGCAACTTTCACTTTTAATAAGTTGTAAAATTAAACATTTTGTACAACTGCTTTCAATATAATTAAGAGGATAGAGTAAGTCAGCTCAAATTCTTATTTCGTCCCCACTTGCCCGCGCGTCGTATGCTATGTACCGACATGTTTGTAATCACTAATACTGTAAGTAGATAGGTCGTTAGACACTTATTTCATTAGGTTTATCATATTTATGCCTGTTTCTTAACGCCAAGCCAGCCGCTTCTTATTTTTATCACGGTTATTTCCCATTTTAATTTTACGTCGTACTGTTGCGTAATGTATATTCTGATCGTAAGCGACACAACCTCCCCGTTCAAAGGCCACGGCGAAGTGACCGTGCTGCAGGAATCACGCTTCAAAAGGCCGATAGTTTAGGTAATTTCTTTTTTACAGTGAAAATAATGGTATTTTAAAAAAAGTAAATAACATAAGCACTGCTTTACAGTTAGTTCAGTTAGTATGCAAAGTTTCATGATCTTATTTAAAGTATTTTATGAATAACAGCGGTTTATTGTTTATTTTGGAGGTAACTGGATTTTTTTTCTATCGAGAAAATTTTACGAAATCGTGTTTTCATCTAACATAATTCTTAATATTAATCCTCAACTTTACCATATATTTATTTCAAAATTAATGCTGCAATATTTTCGGCATAACGAAGGATCTTGCTAAGCCATTTGAGATTTGAGACTTCAATACGACCGAATCAATGAAATACGCATTACGATAACTCAAAGAGGTCAGATCTTGATCTGATTTATGTGTAAATCAGTTCACCTAGAAAAAAGTTCTGAGGTAACAAACATAAAAAAACATACAGTAGATTTGAATACCTCCTCTTTTTTTCTTCGGTTAAAAATAAACTAAAATCAAGGTATTGAGTATACCTTATACGTATTAAACGTTTTAGTTGAAAGCGGCTATAAGAGTGATAAATCCCAAAGAGGCTAAGTACATGCATCAAGAATCGAAGTTCAAGAGACAACTGTTCGTTCGAAATGTGATGAGACTGAAAGCAATAATAATGTGGTTTATAGAATTCGGGAAAATTTTACAGTAAGTATTTTGTTTTTGTCTACAAATAAGTATTTATGCTAGATTATCTTATATCCTGTAAAATCAACATTTATTTTAACTCTACATTTAGTAGTCATGATAACGACTTATGGATCTGAGATGTGGTCCTTCACTGCTGGCCGTATGAGGATGCTCACGGTCACTCAGCGAGCTATGGTGATGGCTGTGTTCGGGGTTTCTCTGCGTTATAAACTTAGAAATGAGGATATCCGCAGTAGAACCAGAGTGACCTACATTGCCCAACCGAATATTAAGCTAAAGTGGTAATGGGCCGGCCATATAGCTCGAAGAACCTACAACCAAAGAGGAAAAAAAGTTCTCGAGTAGCATCATGGTAGGCGAAGTGTAGAACCCCCACTAGATGGAGTGATGACCTGGTAATACATGCAGGAAGTCGACGGATGCAGGTGGCTCAGGAGCGTGCTTTGTGGCACTTCTTGGGGGAGGCCTATGTTCAGCAGTGGGACTTGTGAAGGGCTATAATAATGATGATGATGTAATGAGTCCAACATTGTAAAGTCTGCGGAAGGTGACGAGAAGCAGTATCAATCCTTCCAAAATAATTTATTCTTTTATTTTCTCTTGACAATGGGTAATCTAAGTACTACGCTAATGCATCTGGCGCTTCTGTAATCAGAAGCGCCCGACTAGAACCATCAGTCAATGTTGTGAAAAGTTTCAGCGATCTTTATTTCGCCAGCCAGGTGGCAATGACCATGTATGACAAGCCGTTCTAGGGGAAGAGGCCTAATATCTGTATTTGTGATTTGATGAGTATGGAGATTATATTGTAAACGACTGTTTTATTTTCAGAGATTGCTTCGAATGGGAATCTAGATTACTGTCGTTTCTAGGTCTGCTAGCGTGGCTAGCGTTCTGTTATTATTATCAAATGTGGATGCTGCCATTCTTACTTCTAGTATTCTTTTCAAGGAATTGGTTAATTTACAGGCTTACTGGTAAGTGTTACTATATAAACCTTTCTCTTAATTTTTTCCTAAATTTGACTTTTTATTTAATCAAATAAAATAATTTTACCATTTCCTTTTCATAACGATTTCTTAAATTTATGCGAAAACTACACATTGAATGAAACTACTTATACGGATTTTATCGAGTTTAATTAACTTATTGTTGCGCGCCTAAGTTGACGTCAGGTACCTGGCACTAGCGCCATCTAGTGTCGGGGACCAGAGCGAGGAGGGCTTTCTAGAAAATGTCAATCTTGAACTTTCGACCAAAAGCGCCATCTAGTATCGAACAGAAGAATTAAACTTTCTAGAATCCCCACACTCGAACTTTCTTCGTCTGGTCGGTCGGCGCCCGTATTTACTGGAATATTCTGGATGTTTCGGTGTAAAAGGTGTATTTAAAGCCGCTGCAAGACGCGATCGGGGAAGTATTGAATTTGGCGAGACAAGCAAAGCTTCGGGGCGAAATAAAGTGAATCAGTGTGATTAATTAAAACTACTTTTACGGATTTTATCGCGTTTATTTTTACTTTTTATTTTTTTAATTCCCGACGTTTCGGGCGCTTTCCAGCACCCATGGTCACGGGGGACTGAGATGACTGACGTCCCGATGTCATTGTTAAACCCGGAGTACCTTCAGCTTTTTTAATTATTGTTTATGGTCCGATCTATGCAAAATGAACTGACTATGTCTTGAGGTCTTGCAGTGGTATGCTTGGGTTTAGTTTTAATTTTATTGATTATAGGATCCCAAGCAGGTGGTAGTACCCAGCCTCCTTCTCTATTGAAATTAGGATGTTTTTTAATTTCAATAGCTTCAAGGATGATACGTGAAGCTATTGAAATTAAAAAACATCCTAATTTCAATAGAGAAGGAGGCTGGGTACTACCACCTGCTTGGGATCCTATAATCAATAAAATTAAAACTAAACCCAAGCATACCACTGCAAGACCTCAAGACATAGTCAGTTCATTTTGCATAGATCGGACCATAAACAATAATTAAAAAAGCTGAAGGTACTCCGGGTTTAACAATGACATCGGGACGTCAGTCATCTCAGTCCCCCGTGACCATGGGTGCTGGAAAGCGCCCGAAACGTCGGGAATTAAAAATAAAAAGTAAAAATAAACGCGATAAAATCCGTAAAAGTAGTTTTAATCATGTGCAATGTTCGCGTAAATATGAGAAATCACAGTGTGATTAATTATTAGTGTCTTTTAAGTTTTCATTGGTGTTCGGTAATAAAAATGTACATTTTGGTAATTCAATCGGCAGTTTTTATTGTTCCGAACCCTAAGCTCGTAAAATTATTAGTACTCTTTCAGAGTGGAGGCGGGCGCGGGTGCTAGCGCGGGCGCGTGTAAATCAAAATGTATGTAGACGCCAGTTGCATTCAGAGTGCTCCCGCGCGCCGCGCGTCGGCATGAGGCGGGCGCGGGCGTGGGCGGCGCGGGTGTTTCTAATGGCTCAGTCCGCTCGTATCGTTCACAGTGAACTAGCGTCAGTTAGGTGACTACGCTTGTGGTTCTAAACCATTTTGATTCACCCGCCGAAGCATCGTCAATCATCATGGATATCAATACGGAAGAATTTATATCTGCAGTACAACATCGCACTGCTATTTGGCAGGGCAAACATCTGTAACATTTAAATAGGGTGGCCATAAATAAATAAATTATGGGAAGAAATAAATTGGTGTCAATCTTGACTAAACATGGATCTCGGAGATCTTATTTAATATGTAGTCAAAAGTGTCTAATGACATTCTCGTGTATTCAAAGAATTTATCGGGATACGTCCGTAAATCAGCGTATAATACATAAAATTCTCCAAACTCCTCTCTTCCTTTATTTAAATCGTGTGTGCCAAACTTCTATATTGCAATTTCCATTTCAAGTATGTATGTATTTCAAAAGCAAATCTTCATCTATGTCTTCTAAATATGTAGCAAAGTTTGAGAACGACCAAACACATTTGCAATGACACTCGTAGCTCGTTCGGCACTCTGAATATGCAGACGCCAAGACCCGAGCGCCCGCGCCCGCCCCCGCACCCGCTAGTGCAGTCTGATTGGGCGCTTATGTTCTGCGTAGATCTGACCAAAAATTTTATTCAAAAACTGAAAGTAGCCGGACTAACTACGATATTGGGACGTCGACGTTTTTATGGATCCCACGTGAAAACCCGCGTGAAAGAACATATGGCTGACGTGAAGCACCGACGCTCCGGGAAGTCTACAGTCTGTGAACATGTTCAAGATCGTCCCCACCATTACATCAGATTTGATAAATCACACAATACAAATCCTCGCAAAAGAACACCGATTCCTACCAAGGATGATACGCGAGGCTATTGAAATTAAAAAACATCCTAATTTCAATAGAGAAGATGGTTGGGTGCTGCCATCTGCTTGGGATCCTATAATTAACAAAATTAAACCCAAACCCAAGCATACCACTGCAAGACTTCAAGATACTGTAAGTTCGTTTTGCGTAAATCGGACCAAAAATTAATATTCAAAAACTGAAGGTAGCCGGGCTAACAATGACATTGGGACGTCAAACATCTCAGTCCCCCCCCCCGTGACCATGGTTGCTGTAAAGCACCCGAAAAGTCGGGAATTAAAAATAAGCAAAATCAGTTAAATAAACGCGATAGAATCCGTAAACTTAGTTTTATTCAATAAATAGCTTTGTTCAATTTCCTTTTCATTATTTTGTGTTCTTATTAATTTAAAAATGTATATGGTTTTAAATCCTTAGCCGTGTGGTGACGGTCTTGTTTGGTGGTGGAATTACAGAATGCATGCACACTTCTATTCCTCATCATGGTGTTTGTAATATTCGACGATTTAAAAAAAACAGAAAACCAACGTAAAAAATAAAACAAGCGATTAAAAAGGCATTTCATGTTAGCCTTCTAGGTAACAACGCACCTGAGTTTATTCAAACTAAATCAAAGAAATATGCCGCTGTCTATGGACCACAGCATCCACTTACCTTAAAGTAGATTGTGTGATCGATTGTAACTTGCTATAGAAAAAATATTATAAGCGATTGAGAATTCCAGATATCTAAATTCGTCGATCACTAATACGATTACCATGCAAGATGGCAATAATAATTCCAATTCAGTATAGGTGCAGCAACAGGCTTCTTACGGCCTGAAAAATAAATAGTACAAGGGCTTGCCCTTTGCCTATATTCAACTTACAGTTGTAACATCATATACATTGAGAAGAATGAAATGAAATGAAATAATATAGTCTTCTTGTTGTTTTTTGTATTTATTACTTTAATTTAAATTTGTTTTCTGCTATTTTTTTTAGTTCCGATTAAGTATTTCCGAAGTAATCCATGGGGATATATAGCAAATGCTTTTGGTAATAAGCTTATTTTATGTGTCGTGTGTTACTTTATTAACAGTTTATTAAGAGCATGTTATAATTAACGTTGTTAACAACTTATTGTTTTATCTCTTAACTATTTTTCATACGTGGATCCACGCTGCAGCTATATTATGGTTGTAGCACGAATGGCTGTCGGCTCGGCCGAGGCAGGACCACGCTCTCACAGAATACCAGCGTAAAATAGCATCTTAATACTTCTGTGTTTCGTAGAGTGAGTGTAGTGATCCGGACACCAGTTTTTACTGAAAACGAGGCATTCCATTTTAGTCCTCGGGGGTGACAACGCATCTACGTTTTGATTCTTAATCTAGGATAAATGTTGATGTATATGGTCCACAGCATTCACTTACTTTCTGTAAAAAAGCAACTGATATCAAGTTATTTACGTCCGCAAAATCCGAAAGGCTAGGATAAAATATATAAAATTTTCATAGAAATAGAATTATGCTTGGATGTGTAATACTTGATATATTTTTTTATAATAATTATTATTATACCAGGTGGAAATCCACTGTTAACACCAGTTGATGATGACGATCTATTAGCGGAGGAGGACGACGATGATGACGTAGACAAGGTATTAATAATTTCCCATGCGACTTTATTTTTCTAAACAACTATTATCTTGTACAATATAAGAAAGATACTATGAGTTAACAGTTTTTGGTCGACTATAGTTCCGTATCACTACCATGTAGTGCCGGTGTAAGAATATCTACTACCTCATATTATCCCGTTGGTATCGTAATAGGCGACGGAAGGAAACAAATCAAAAGATGGACGGCAGCGTCTGTCTAATAACGACTAAAACTAAAATCTGCGGTCGCCAACCCTCTTGCTAAGAATGGCAAATATGGCAACTGAGGCAATCTATGGGGGAGGCCTTCAACAAGTGGACTTTAATAGGCTGTAATGGATGGATGTATAGAAGATAATCCACCAGGAGCACATGACTCACTGAGAGGTGAAATTATTAAATCAAAAATAACATTACAACTATGGCAAATATCTCCCCTGTGTGGCAATCTATGGAGGAGACCTGTGTTCGGCAGTGGACTTTCATAGGCTGTAATGGATGGATGTATAGAAGATAATCCACCAGGAGCACATGACTCACTGAGAGGTGAAATTATTAAATCAAAAATAACATTACAACTATGGCAAATATCTCCCCTGTGTGGCAATCTATGGGGGAGACCTGTGTTCAGCGGTGGACTTTCATAGGCTGTAATGGATGGATATATAGAAGATAATCCACCAGGAGCACATGACTCACTGAGAGGTGAAATTATTAAATCAAAAATAACATTACAACTATGGCAAATATCTCCCCTGTGTGGCAATCTATGGGGGAGACCTGTGTTCAGCAGTGGACTTTCATAGGCTGTAATGGATGGATGTATAGAAGATAATCCACCAGGAGTACATGACTCACTGAGAGGTGTAATTATTAAATCAAAAATAACATTACAACTATGGCAAATATCTCCCCTGTGTGGCAATCTATGGGGGAGACCTGTGTTCAGCGGTGGACTTTCATAGGCTGTAATGGATGGATGTATAGAAGATAATCCACCAGGAGCACATGACTCACTGAGAGGTGAAATTATTAAATCAAAAATAACATTACAACTATGGCAAATATCTCCCCTGTGTGGCAATCTATGGGGGAGACCTGTGTTCAGCAGTGGACTTTCATAGGCTGTAATGGATGGATGTATAGAAGATAATCCACCAGGAGCACATGACTCACTGAGAGGTGAAATTATTAAATCAAAAATAACATTACAACTATGGCAAATCTCTCCCCTTGTGTGGCAATCTATGGGGGGAGACCTGTGTTCAGCGGTGGACTTTCATAGGCTGTAATGGATGGATGTATAGAAGATAATCCACCAGGAGCACATGACTCACTGAGAGGTGAAATTATTAAATCAAAAATAACATTACAACTATGGCAAATATCTCCCCTGTGTGGCAATCTTTAGGGGAGACCTGTGTTCAGCAGTTGACTTTCATAGGCTGTAATGGATGGATGTATAGAAGATAATCCACCAGGAGCACATGACTCACTGAGAGGTGAAATTATTAAATCAAAAATAACATTACAACTATGGCAAATATCTCCCCTGTGTGGCAATCTATGGGGGAGACCTGTGTTCAGCGGTGGACTTTCATAGGCTGTAATGGATGGATGTATAGAAGATAATCCACCAGGAGCACATGACTCACTGAGAGGTGAAATTATTAAATCAAAAATGACATTACAACTATGGCAAATATCTCCCCTGTGTGGCAATCTATGGGGGAGACCTGTGTTCAGCAGTGGACTTTCATAGGCTGTAATGGATGGATGTATAGAAGATAATCCACCAGGAGCACATGACTCACTGAGAGGTGAAATTATTAAATCAAAAATAACATTACAACTATGGCAAATATCTCCCCTATGTGGCAATCTATGAGGGAGACCTGTGTTCAGCAGTGAACTTTCATAGGCTGTAATGGATGGATGTATAGAAGATAATCCACCAGGAGCACATGACTCACTGAGAGGTGAAATTATTAAATCAAAAATAACATTACAACTATGGCAAATATCTCCCCTGTGTGGCAATCTATGGGGGAGACCTGTGTTCAGCGGTGGACTTTCATAGGCTGTAATGGATGGATATATAGAAGATAATCCACCAGGAGCACATGACTCACTGAGAGGTGAAATTATTAAATCAAAAATAACATTACAACTATGGCAAATATCTCCCCTGTGTGGCAATCTATGGGGGAGACCTGTGTTCAGCGGTGGACTTTCATAGGCTGTAATGGATGGATGTATAGAAGATAATCCACCAGGAGCACATGACTCACTGAGAGGTGAAATTATTAAATCAAAAATAACATTACAACTATGGCAAATATCTCCCCTGTGTGGCAATCTATGGGGGAGACCTGTGTTCAGCAGTGGACTTTCATAGGCTGTAATGGATGGATGTATAGAAGATAATCCACCAGGAGCACATGACTCACTGAGAGGTGAAATTATTAAATCAAAAATAACATTACAACTATGGCAAATATCTCCCCTGTGTGGCAATCTATGGGGGAGACCTGTGTTCAACAGTGAACTTTAATAGGCTGTAACGGTAACGGTATAACATAATCAGTTTAGGTAGTTATGTGAAAGGTTAAAATTAGGGTTCTAGAAGACACTGCTGCCCATCTACTGGTTTTTTACGTGTTTAAAAAATGTTAAAGTATTATCCCTATTACAAACCCGATTCGCTGTGTCGACAGACTGAGTAAATTTAAACACTTTAGACTTTTGATTAATGTTCAACATGATCATTAGACAATCGTTTAAATTTTAATATATATTTATTTGTAAATAGTGTGCAATTTGGCATTTTCTAAATAATTTGCATGCGAAATTTGGAAACGATTGTAATGTCAAAACACATCTTGTGTTGACAGTTATACGTGTGAATTGACATGTCGGCCACTTCGTGAGCCAGGTCTAGATATTTTGTTTTCTTATCTGATTTGGCTTTCACTAGGTTCTATTGGATATTATTATTATTATTAATGGATATTCTTATATTACACCGCTACAGCGTTAATTACTGACGATAACAATGTTATTCATTGTGTTATTATTAATTATGTTTTGATTTTAATGGTAAATGATTGCAGGAAGAAAAGAAATCACTGAAAGAGAGGTTACAAGCAATACAAGAAGTAACGCAGACAGTCCAGAACGCCATTGGTTATGTAGCATCGGTGGGAGAGGCCGTCAAAAAGTATGTACGATTTTACATAATGCACAAAATTAATATCGATTGACTGATTTCTAGCTACTATAATTTGACTAGTGTCGCACTAACTGTAAGGGCTGTGATATCACAGTATTTTGAAATGATATAACGGAGGTATATTGTCCAAATAGGCGATATAGTGAAAGCGGGCCGAAATAAAAACATCAGGACCAAACTTGGTGGTTTGGTAAGTCGAAAGAAAAGATGAGGAAAGAGTGACAAAGCACGTATATATTGCAGAAGTGAAAGGCAGAGTCGGTGAGGGATGTTCTAGACTAGTGGCGAAGCTAGGCCTCCAAACTAGGGCAAGCCCAAGATATGGTTTTGTTGTTTTTAGCAGTTTTATAAAAATACACCAATCTTGATCCGTCTCCACTTTTCATTTTCATATTCAGTGCTGTCGATAACGTGTTTAACAAAGCACACAGAAGGCATACTACTGCTAGATAGATTGCATGACATATCAGCAATTGCATACCTTCGGTTGCTTTAAAAAAGCCGTTTGGGTTTGCTTGAACGAAAAAAGTTATATTAAAAAAAAATTTAATTAATTTATTTTTTCTTCACAAAAATTAAATGAATGACATAGTTGACTGGGATCTCCATTTAAGCAAGTAATGCCTGTGTTTGGAAATCCCGCTCTTCCTTACCTAAACATACATTTTTTGGTTTAAAAAAAAAAACCAAAAATAACAAAAACAAATTACTCGACTTTAACAACCAAAATTTACAAAAATTACAGAAGTGTGTATGTGTGCATGCGTGCGTACGAGCGCGCGCGCATGTGTGAGTGTGTGTGTGTGTGTGTGTGTGTGTGTGTGTGTGGTTGTGCGTGCGTGCGTGCGTGCGTGCGTGCGTGCGTGCGTGCGTGCGTGCGTGAGTGCGTGCGTGCGTGCGTGCGTGCGTGCGTGCGTGCGTGCGTGTGTGTGTGTGTGTGTGTGTGTGTGTGTGTGTGAAAAATCATTTTGTTAAATTATGTTATTGTACATAAAGTGAATTATGAAATGAAAAATTATACATACAATACAATACATAAACAAAAGAAAAGCATGAACAAAGTACAAACTGTGTACAAAATTTAAAAAAAATTATTTATATTCTATATCGAATCGTCTCTCTTTTTTAAGAAAAGATTTGATTACGTCCGCGTAAAATATTGGTGAACGTTTTAATTGTTACAATAACTGTTTTTCAATTGTAATAATTGATAAGTCTGAAAGACTCTCTTGACTTACTTGAAAATACTTGAAATGCACAGATCAGGCGTTGGTTTCGGTGAGGATCTGAGCTGTTTTTTCTCAACAAAGTTTAAAGATTTTACCTTTTCCTTGCCGATTAGCACTTCAACACACTTCAAATCAACATAAGGAACACTATTATCCTTGATTTTCACTAAGAATCTTTAAAAAGCATAAATTTTCAACTCTCAATATTCATTCGCTCAAGCTAAACACAGAGTAAACATTGAAATGTGAAGTGAACTTGCAAACGTATAACCCGCGCTCGACTATTTTCATACCTAAATCCTGGCTTTTTCGTTCTATGCTAATAGCTATATTATAAGCAATCGTAGTTATATTTCATTATAGAACATTTTTCCACTGGTTAGAAAGGGAGAGATCGTCTTCTCGAAAGCACGTTAAAAAGCCCACGTGTGCGAGTTCAACTCAACTCTTTTTTTTATGATAGCAGTATCGCTAAGGCTACGAGGTCATGACCTGTGTTGTTTGTAGTTTGAAACAGTTTACGAGTTATTTTATTAGTTGATATTATTGACAGTTTGATAGCGCAAGCCCGGCTTCTCGGCTTCTATGGAGGCTTCGCCACTGTCCTAGATGGAAATTTACACAACAAATTATTGTCGATATATTGAAGACGGGTAAAATTAATAGTACCCTTAACCGACGAGCATGTATAACGTAGGTATATGGTTGTGAAAGAAGCAGGATTTGGAGTTAGGATCGTGCCAAATGGAAGTCCATAGCCTGTGTGAAGAACGTGCGAGTTTATACTTGTTATGCGCATGCCTTTTGTTTTTTTTGTCGCCGATTTCCTTGTAACGTTTTCGATTTTTTTTTAAATAATCTATCCTTTTGTTTTCCAGCCTTATGAACTTCACAGTGCCATATCTTAGTTATTTAGCAATAATAATGTTATTTGGAGCAATGCTAGTTTTATACGTGATACCACTACGATATCTCCTTATGGCGTGGGGTGAGTATTTTCTTATTATTTATTCTTATATACTTATATTCATAGGGCACAGGCCTCTCATTTTTGGAACGATTTTAGCGCCAGAATATATCCGCCGCGCTGCCTCAATGCGTGCTGGCGAACTCTTCGAAATTTATGTTTTCTTATTTCTCGGACATGCACGATGTTTCCTTTCACCACCGAGCACGTGGTAAATCAGAACTTAAATTTCAAATCAACGATTTCATTGGTGCTGGCGGGGATCGAACAAGAGTTGATCGCGTACTGTGAAATTTATAGCGAGCGCTTAGCCGCAGAGCTACCATGGCACTATTAACTTATCTTTATTAAATAAAAACTAATTTATTTAATATTTATTGAAAGACACCATAAAATAATAGTTACAAGGGGCGAATTTAATTCCTGATGGAATTCTCTACCAGTCTACTAATCACCATCTTATTCAACTATCATCTTACTCTGTATTACGATACGAATAATTCAGCACGATGGGACCATGCTTTCATGGTCTGTGTTTTGTATGTTGGGTAACCAGCTAATGAGAACCATAGACCAATTTTTACTAGCAACGGTAGATTTCTTCTCAGTCCTCGGGGATGGCCGCATTTGCATTTAAAAAAAATATAATTAAAAAGGATTCCATTTTGATTTTAGCCAGCAATTTGAATTAAATATCATCATATTGAATCTACGCTCGTTTGTAAACCTTCTGCTGCAAAAATTATCGTTTTACAAACCTATCATCCAGCGTAACGAGTACCTATGAGCAAATCTATCAAGTATGTGTTCATCATCATCATCATTACAGCCCTTCACAAGTCCACTGCTGAACATAGGCCTCCCCCAAGTAATGCCACAAAGCACGGTCCTGAGCCACCTGCATCCATCGACTTCCTGCATGTCTTACCAGGTCGTCACTCCATCTAGTGGGGGGTCGCCCTACACTACGCCTACCGGTACGAGGCTGCCACTCGAGAACCTTTCTTCCCCATCGGTTATCGGTTCTTCGAGCTATATGGCCGGCCCATTGCCACTTCAGCTTACTAATCCGTTGGGCTATGTCGATCACTCTGGTTTTACTGCGGATATCCTCATTTCTGAGTCTATCACGCAGAGAAACTCCAAGCATAGCCCTCTCCATAGCTCGCTGAGCGACCTTAAGCGTCCTCATACGGCCAGCAGTGAAGGACCACGTCTCAGATCCGTAAGTCATCACTGGCAACACGCACTGGTTGTACAATCTAGTTTTTAGAGATTGAGGTATACCTGACGAAAAGATATGTCGTAATTTCCCGAACGCTGCCCAGCCGAGTTGAATCCGTCGATTGACCTCTCGGTCAAAGTTGGACTTACCTAGTCGGACTATTTGTCCCAGGTAAACGTACTCGTCAACAACTTCGAGCATAGTGCTCCCAACAACTACCGGCATAGGTGTGACATGGACATTAAACATGATCTTTGTTTTGTCCATGTTCATCTTAAGACCTATCCGTTGGGAGGCACTATTGAGGTCATTGAGCATAATGCTTAAGTCCTCCAGCGATTCTGCCATAATGACTATATCGTCGGCAAATCGAAGGTGAGTGATGTACTCGCCATTGATGTTAATACCGTATCCTTTCCAGTCCAGTAGCTTGAAAACGTCTTCCAACGCAGCGGTGAAGAGTTTCGGGGATATAACATCACCCTGTCTTACACCTCTCTGCAGTTGGATAGGTTTCGAACTCTGGTTCTGTACTCGGATAGCCATCGTAGCCCTACTGTACAAACACTTCAGCACTTCGATGTACCGACAGTCAACTTGGCACCGCTGAAGGGACTGTAGCACCGCCCAAATTTCGACGGAATCAAAGGCTTTCTCATAGTCCACATATGCCAGGCAAAGTGGCAGATTGTACTCTTCGGTCTTCTGTACAATCTGCCGCAGGGTATGTATGTGGTCTATGGTACTGAAGCCTTTTCGGAAACCGGCTTGTTCGGGAGGCTGGAAGTCGTCGAGTCTGCGTGCGAGACGATTCGTAATGACTCTCGAAAATAGCATGTAGACGCGGCTCAGAAGGGAAATCGGTCTGTAGTTCTTCAAGAGAGCGTTGTCGCCTTTCTTAAAGAACAAAACCACCGCGCTTCTGCTCCACGCCTCCGGAGTAGTGCCACCATGGAGGACGGAATTGAAGAGCTTCCGAAGGACTTCAAGTACCGGTTTTCCACCCGCTTTCAGAAGCTCCGCTGTAATTCCATCCTCGCCCGGGGCCTTGCCGTTTTTAAGGTGGTGGAGAGCCATTCTAATCTCGCTCACACTGACGTCCGGGATATCATCGGAATAGTGTCGGATAAGACTTGCTCTTGGATCGTTACTCACACTTACGTGTGGCTCCAACGATGATGTGTACAGCTGCCCATAGAACCTCTCAATCTCACTCAAAATCTCAGGTGTCCCGGAAACGATGTTGCCACACTCAGTCTTCAGCTTTGACAGTTGGCTCTTTCTGGCAGACAGATCTCTGGCAAAGACTTTGGAGCCCTGGTTCCGCTCGATCGCTTCTTTAATACGAGAAGTATTAAAGTTGCGTAAGTCTCGCCGCATGCATTTGGAGATCTGTCTGTTCAGTTGCCTGTATGCTGTCAAATCTGTTGACGATTGCAGCCTCATCTCCCGTCTAACAGCCATGAGATTAAGAGTGTGATCGGAGAGTTTTTGTGTTCTTCTGCGGCGGGTCTTGCAGAACTTAGCTCCGACCGCATGGACAGTTTCCACGAGCTTGTCGTTCATATCGTCCACTGCATTGCAATCTTCTAGGCACTGGAAGCGGTTACGTAACTCGAGCTGAAAGGTTTCGGGATTCTGGATTAGAGCACGAGGGGGACGGAGCGTTGACTTCATTAGACGAGACCTCTCCGACTTAACGTTTAGGTTCAGTGTGCCTCTAACCATTCGGTGATCGCTGCCAGTTTTCACCCTTGCGATCACTGAGACATCACTGAACAGTTGGCGTCTGGTCGTCATAATGAAGTCAATCTCATTTTTTGTCGAACCGTCGGGGCTCGACCAGGTCCACTTCCTGTGGGGCCGCTTCTGGAAGAAAGAGTTCATCATAAAGAGTCCCTCTTTCTCCATAAAGTCGGCCAGCTGCTGGCCCCTTCGGCTCCGTTGCCCTACTCCAAATTTCCCTACCTTCAGCTCACCGCTTTCTCTTGTGCCTAGTTTTGCGTTGAAGTCTCCCATCAACACCGTGTAGTGGGTTTTGGAGGAATGTATGGCTCTGGAAATATCCTCATACATTTCCTCCACCTCCTCATCGGGATGTGCCGAGGTTGGTGCGTAAACCTGAATGACCTTCAGCGAATACCGTTTGGTGATTCTGAGTATCAGGTACGCGACCCTCGTCGACACACTCCCAATCTTTACAACGTTGTTGACGAGAGACTTGTGGACGATAAATCCGACACCTCCTTGGGACAGATGGTCGCCCTCCCGGTGATAGAACAAGTTGCCGGACTCGAGGATTGCCGTGTCCTCCCCCTCTCTTCGGACCTCGGATAATCCAATAATATGCCAGCGCAACTTGTCTACCTCTTCTTCCAGCTCTAGTATCTTCTCGTCAGTCCTCAGGGTGCGTGCGTTATATGTTGCCAGGTCGAGTCGTCGTAGGTGGCAACCGAACCTCCACCGGAGATTCTTAGCACCCCCTGCCCCGCCGTTACCATGGTCGCCACCGTAGCCAGGAATAGCGGGGCCGCCGGGGACTGGGGGCCGTCTGTTTGTGTATTTATTCATTGGGGGGTTATTGCCATAGTTGCCACGCTTGGCGAGCGGGTTGGCAACCGCAGTTTTTTATTACGTCACAGTTGTTATCAGGAAGATGCTGCTGCCCATCTCCTGCCTGTCTCCCTCTGTCGCCTTTTACGACACCCACGGGAAGATATGGGGTAGTGGATATTCTCAACCGCCACTACACGGCAAATATGTGTTACTTGATAGATTTGCTTGATTTCCACATACAGCCACCATAGCCACGTCTAGCTTAACTAGGGCTTCCACCATAGATTACCTTATAGGGGGGATATTTGTCATAGTTGCCGGGTTGCCAACATCAGTTTTTACTTTTAGTCGTTATCAGTTTTGATCATTGATCATTATTTGATCGGATTTGTTTCCCTCTGTCGCCTCTTACCCACGGGATGATATGGGATAGTGGATATTCTTAAACCGCCACCACACACAACATATGTTAATTTAGTTAAGTTTAAAAAATACAGTGTAAACTGTTTATTGATCCTGATAAAATACAAAAAAATATGTGTCTGTTGGCAAATTCTTGGAAGACTTATTTACAGCAGTGAACATAGTCCCCATGGATTGCCTCAAAGAGTTGATATTTGCCAAAGGTTGGCAGCCACATGTTTTTATTATTTTGAACTTTTATCAGGAAAATTCTCATATTTGATTTTCCTCAGTCGCCTCTCACTATACTCACGGAATTATGAGGGTAGTGCATTTGCATCGCCACTGTACGACACTATATTTCCATTTTATATTTATTTTTGAGTAACCTATATAATCAAATTTCCAGGTATCAACAAATTCACAAGAAAAATACTTCGACCACACACGATACCCAATAACGAAGTTCTAGATTTACTGTCCAGGGTACCGGATGACGAAATATTGGTAAGCGTAAACATATATTTATTTATTAAAATATTTATACTGGATGACTTTTTACGGATGTGAACGTAGGTAGAAGCCCACTGATATTTTACAAAAAAAAAAATAAATAAAAACAAACATTTTGAACTAAATACCTACTAAATTTAATGTTTTATTGCCGTTCGTAAAGTATGGGTGGATATGATTTGAATTTCGATAGATCTTAATTTATTTATTTATTTAATTCAAAAAAAATTTTTTTTTTTTTTTTTTTGTAAAATGTCAGTGCCATAGGCTTCTATTCCGTTTACATGTTACATTCAATTTTTTTTTCAAGAGGGTAAAAAGGTCACCAGTATATTACCAACACCAAATACGAATGTATCAAACGAAATAATAAATTAAAAAGACACGGATGATAAATTTATAATTGTATTTCAGCTGGACTGTAGAGAGCTTAAAACTCATGCGCCGAACGATACTCGAAAGGACGCTAAAAAAAAACACAAGGCGGCGTAGCACAAAGACAACAATAATTGAGCCGAATAACGCTCGTTAATATTTAAATGTCTTTGCAGAACAAGTACTATCATCTAAAGAAACAGCATCTAAAGAATTGCATGAAATGAAAAACAATACTTATACGATTTACCACTGTGCAATGTCAAATCTAAATATTTAATAGTGCTTTAATTATTTTTATGGGTATAACTTAATAAAATTCAAATACAATCAAATCCCAGATTTAAATCCTTTTTTTTTAGGATTTGGGAATAATTTTACTTGCATGTCTTTTTTATTTTTAACTAGGTACAGCGTGTTATGGTACTATTTTTTTATAAAATGTGATTGTCAAACGAGCACACAGTCCACATGATGGTAAGTGGAACATGATAAAGACTCCAAAGCTGCTACCATAATATAGCTGCAGCGTGGCTCTACCATGTGGTAAGCACATGTGGTAGAGCTACGCAGCACACGTGGTACACGTGGTGGTCCAGCACAAATGGGTCGACACGACGACACATTGGGTGACAAACGAGCACACAGTAAACATTATGAAATGTGGATGTTGTGGCCCATAGACATTCACATTTATCCTCAATTAAGAATCAAAATGCAAATGCGTTGTCACCCATGAGGACCAAGATGGAATACCTCGATTCCAGTAAAAAGGTTCTCCGGTTCTCTACACTAACCATACGAATAACAGCGGCATTAAACTACTATTTTACGCTGGTATTCTGTGAGAGCGTGGTCCTGCCCCGGTCGAGCCGACCCATTCGAGAGATGAAGAACCTTTTTACTCGTAACGAGCTTTTCAATATCCAATCTTAGTCTTAGAGCATACATTACATGGAGGGAGCACTGTGTGAGCAGAAAGCGTGATCGGCGTAGAGAGAGAGAGACTGAGTTTAGGTAGAGTCTGTCTCTCTCGCACAGTCACTGTCATTGGCTGTTTCATTGGGCATGCGCTAAGCAAGGTGACGAGATTTACATTACAGCCAATCAGAAGCATGTGCGAGAGAGACAGACTCTACCTAAACCTTAGAGCACCGATCGCGCTTTCCGCTCACACAGTGCTCCCTCCATGTAATGTATGCTCTAAGATCTTAGTCGTTAGGGGAGACAACGCATCATCATTTTGATTCCTAATCAAAAGTTGATTATAAATGTATATGGCATCACCATATACCTAACATAAGGTAGTTTCTATGATGTTTTGTCACCTTTAATTGTGTTTAAAACGTTACAGTTATACCCATAAGGGTAAAATATTAATGAATTCGTAATCTGTGGTTCTATTTATACTAAGATAAATTCACTTTAAGTTTAAGTCGCAAACGTTATTATTACACTTGAAACGTGTGAAGAACCCTAGGTCCTACAATTTTGTATGAGCGATATATACGCACACATAAACTGGCGCCGATGTTTGAACCTTGATTTGTTTGTGTGTGTAAAATTGTAGTACTTTGGATGCTTCACACGTTGTCAATGCAAAACGTCCGTATTTTTTTTTACGTATGTCTTTGCAGCACGGGAAGAAAACGTCTGCTCAGATGATAATGATCAAAACAGTCTATAGACTAACAATCATAGAATAGACATCATTTTGTACCCCATAATCTTTGTAATTGAGCATGTTATTTAGTTAGAGTGAACTAAATCGTCCATGTACAAAAACCATTAATAGATAAGAAAATACAGTTAACTAAAAAAAATGAAATTGTTTATTAATGTAATTTAAATATCTATTTAAACACAATGTTTATCGTTTTTATAATACGATATGGTATTTGACTTTTGTATTCTTATTTGTAAAAATTACAAAATTTAATAGGTGTACTTTTTGCTTTTGGAATTTTAATAGGTAATTTTATACAGGGTTATTTTTCAAATAGTAGCCAAATTTTTAACTTAAATCCAAATATATTAAATAATGATTAATGAAATACCGTTATTGCAATTTTTGAAAAAACTATTATATAAGGCTTCTACTTTTATTTGGAATTATCCCGAATTTAAGGTGATTTATGGGCAACAACGTTTTTGCCTACCGATCGACACTTACCAATGTGTACGTGCGCAGTGAAGTCAGTTAAAATAATGCAGTACCGCGCGTTTTGAACTTAAATAATAAGAAGGACAGAATGTTTGAGATTTCTGCAAATTTTGGTTGTAATTGCAAAGTAACCCTGTATGGTACAGTACCTGAATAAGACAAAGTAAAAAAAAATAGAAACAAAACAAAAGGGAAATATCATATCGATTTAAAACGACATCATTTCTAAACAAATTGAATTTAATCATCAATTACCTTTAATAATTATCACCTACATTTTTTCTAAATTTTTCACGTTTTTAATAATATAAATAAATAGAAAATATACTTAGCTTACTAAAATGATTATGTGTACTAAAATGACTACTGTAAATACTAATGTGTTTCCAAAATATCATTTTAATAATGATTTCTCGACTATTCATTTTATTCAACTGTGATCCTTAAAAGATCTGTTAAATATATCTTCTTAGAATATATCGCTTTAACAAGATGATTAACGCGTTTAACAAGACTCAAATGCCTTAATGACACTTGGCTATTGTAAATTGACTCTCCTGTGTTATTTATTACGACATAACTCGTTCCGAGCACTGTGAACGATTTTACTTTATATTTAGTAAAACCCATAAAAAATTCTAAATGTATGCGAGTCCACGAAATGAAATAAACCAGCATTTTATGAAGAAAAGCTAACAGAAAGAAGATCAATCTTGTAATGAATAAAATCAGTCAAAAGAAATAATGCATAATATGTGGAATACTTAAATAAAAGCACCAAAAGTATTTTAAAGTTTTTGATGCTAAATGGAAATAAAAATTGTAAGAAATGTTTTGTGTAATTAAGGCGAATGAGGTTTTCTATGTCTACCACCGTTTTAATAATAACTATGACACCAATAATTTATAAATATACTGAATGATTTTTTACCGTCTGGAAAAAAATAGGGTGTAACAGGTGTACGGAATAGAGCTTATTGCACTGTTATTTCGATAGTTTTTTTTGATTTATTTATTTAGTTCAAAATTTTTGATTTTATTTTTCTTAATACTACGAAAGTTTATTTCAAATCTGTTCTATTGATAGATCAATTTCATAATATGCTAATGTAAAAGAAAAAAATTGTAAAATATCAGTGCCAAAAGCTTCTATTCCGTTCATTTCTTTAAGTATTAAACCGAAGGAGACGGCATCGCAAGGCATACGTCTCTGTAAAAGGTACGAGAGTCAAAGGTTACCCTTTTTATTTTCAAACGGTAAAAAAATCACCCAATATAGATATAACATGGCCCATGAGTCAATAATCCTTAGGAAAAGTTTCTTCCAATAATTTTTATAGTATTATTTTGGTTAGATAATATAGATTTTAGTTAGTAATTGCTAGACGTTAATATAATTACATTTGATAAAGAAGCTTGAGAGTGATGTAATAAAATGTTATAAGCACAAGAAATTTATTATATTAAATAAGTTGCATTTATTTTCAAAATAATTGTAGTTAGAATTTGTCAAATTTTTAAAGAGAATTGTTGTGCTGTTGCTATATGTAAGTAAAAGTTTAAAATATTGACACATTTATTTCAAATTCAACTCCAAAATTATTATAGTATAAGACTGAAAATAAGACTCGACCGAAATCAGCAAAACGCTACGATGCGCATTTTAAGGCTACGCCCAGAGAAAAATCATTTAAAATGTAATTGAATTTTATGGTGAACTTAGCCCATATAGTAAAGAATAGTAAACTTGCAGGACCCGGCAGAGGTTATCCTGCCAGTTAATGTGGTTATATTCAACAACGTTTTTTTAGTTTAGCGCATGCAATTTAATTTATTAATTGCCGCGCTTAATAAAAAAAATATATAATCAAAAATTTTAAATTGTTTGTTTCTAAATGATTTTCAACTTTTTTTAGTTTAAATATAAAACTTCTCCATTGAAAAATACATATATATATATATATATATATATATATATATATATATATATATATATATATATATATATATATCCAATTTTCATGGTGACAGGTCAAATAGTAAATCTATATGATTATCAAGTTAAAACTGTAAATAAAGATAATTTATTATTATTCATATGCTGTACTTTTATTATTCATAACAAGGTACATGAGGGTAATAATGGACACCATAAGCTTTGCCGCCCTATAAAAGTAAAACTACCCTCACGTACTTTAGAATAATTTTTTGTCGATATAAAAATATTTAGATATATCTGTTCTTTCCTCAATAGCGTGCACATATAAGGGACAAAAATTAAATAAATATATTAAATACTATAACTAACAACTGGTTGTGTGTTGCCACAAACATTTTATTCAATTTGCTATTATATAGTTATGCTTATTATAATCTATGTACGAGATATTAAATTAAAATAATTTCAACGAATACATCACTTTAATTAAGCGAAATAACCGATCGTCCATCTAAGGGCCTGCGCTCACGGACGGCACGGCGTGTAAAAGAATTTATTTCGTGGGTAAATATTTCACACGTGACACCGCGGCATGCTGCTGTACGTCACGTCATTCTGCGGAATGCTGCGGCACGTCACGTCATTCCATGTGATGCCGCGGCACGTCGCTGCATCACGTGAAACGCATAAGTTACTTCATGCTGTTAAAGGAATATGATTGCTAAGTAATTGAAACAAGGTTGAATCGAGCCCGTTGCGGCGGCGATCTCTGTAGGCCCGGACGCTGCTTTTCTACCGACGCGGGTTGCCACAGAATCCTTCGGCATACTGCGAGATGCCACAGGCTCCTTCGACATGTCGATGTGTGCCTGGCCATGCTGTGCTACGCCGTGCCGTCTATGATGAGCGCAAGCCCTTAGTAGGACACAAGGAATGTATATAACTCCCTAAGTTTACTCGAAATGCATGCATTTGTTTTGTCCTGTCCAATCGCTCCGTTGAGACGCGGGCTTT